TCCGCCGGGGCTTTGCTTTTTCTTTTTCCGCATATAAGTGGATTGGATTTGATGTCCTCCACGTAGTATCCAGGTGTTCTACAGCCACTGAGGTTCAGACTCCCTCGTCTGCCTTTGCTGCCGATTCCCACACCACGCCTCTTGTGACTTAGTCCTCGTATCTTGGAAAGACTTGGGTCAGCAGTTGGTTGATCTGGTATGCCAAGACGCATCCGTTTACCACGTCCACGTCCACAAGGCATTTCACAGTCACTCATTGGTGACTCACAAAACCTAGTTAAAAACAACAAGGAGTCATGAGTGTATGTAAATAAACACGTTTCAAATTAATGATCTAAACAGGGTTCAATTTAGGCTTAAAAGGGCCAGATTTACTAACAGCTTGTGTCACGCAAACCCTCTTTTGGTGTATTTAAATAAATCATGCCACTTGATTTTACTGAAACTTTACTGGTATTGGCACCATTATTTAAAGTCTCCCTGTGGTGAAAATCCAGCGTTTAATGTTGTTAATGTGTCTATGTGGTTAATCCGCTTTAACACACACCGTATGTGCGTTGATAAGTGGACAGCATTGCTGAAACTGCAGTGAACCAAAGACAGTCTCAAAAACAAGCTTTGAAATCGCTGGTGTTTCTGATGTCACAAACCACCTCGTAACCAATCAGATCAACGTGTGATCGACAACCAGTGGATCTCTTGCTGCGTTCAAGTCCTCCTGGGAAGTTCGTACGTACGAGGTGGGAAGTCGTGTTTACGACGTGAGGTGCGTTCAAGTCAGTTTCGTCGGAGCAAAATGCCGGTGTACCTTCTTTTAATGAATTGCACGAAAATACAGCAAGTTTTGTTAACTCTGCTAATAAAAAAAAATGAAGAACAAAGAATGCGCATCAGGTGTGTTTTTCTTTTATGTTTTTTATTAGCTTATGAAGCCAATGTAAACTCTATCATTAGGTTTAATTTTTATATTATAATGATATCATATTTTGTGCAGAGAGCTTGCTTTATAAATGAAAAAGCCTTACAATGTCAATGAGTAAACATTGAAAATCAATTAAAATGTACCGTCAAGACGTTGAATGAACGTTTCTCACTGACACGCCCCCAACTCGTACAGATCGGGGCTTAAAGAAAATCCCAAGCTCCCCACTGGTATTTACGACATTGTGGTGGCGTTCAAATGCGTTCAACTCGTAATTACGATCTATACGAGATGACTTGAACGTGAGTGAGTGAGTGGAGGTGGGGTTCATTTGCATATTCATAGAACCATGCATACTAAATGAGGTGAGGGTGTCGAGTTACATTCAAGATATTTTAAGGCAAGAACTTTTAAAGGAAAAATCGTTTTTTTGTGTCAATTTTGTGAGTTTTTAAAGGATATAATTAATGACTACAGGGCTTTAACACTCAAAAAAGCATGTCTTAACCCATTTTGTGCTCAACATGCTGCGATAGTTACTTTTTGTTGCCCTTGGTAGATCGTGTTGCTCCTTATGTAAATGAGCGGCCGCATCTGTGTTCTTTAATTTGCTCATTGACCTTACAGGACTTTCCTATCTGTGCATTTATGGGATTGCGGACTCACACTAATTTCCCCTGTTTAGTAAATCTGGCACCTTGGATCTTCAAGCCAAGCATTCAAGAAGAAAGAAAGGAAGGTGTATTACCGTGGTGGAGCCCAGTCATGCTTGGTGCAGTCCAAGAGAGTTCCCACATAGGTCCGTTTTCTCCATGTGACGTTCACAACTAGAACCCCTGGAATCATAGAGAAACATTCACAGAAATGAGTACCTCTGAAATATTGTGTTATTAAAAAATCCACAATCACCAAATAAACACATTCAGGTTTAGCCCAAAGTGCACTCTTGGAAATAAAGAAACCATTTTTGGTTTCGTTTTTCTACATTTTAATAATCTAAAGAACCTTTTGTGCAGTGGATGTTAAATGTTCTTCATGGAGCCAATAAAGAACCTTTATTTTTAAGAGTAGGTCTTTTATTGTATTTTCGAATGGATTCATTCAGCGTTTGATCTCGGTGATGGAAGTTAAGATGGTGGTCTGCAATTTTAATTTGCTTAATCAATATGCAACTAGTGTCTCCTCTTCCTTCAAATGATTCAGTCTCACAGCTGCTTTGAAAACGCAGTCCTGTGGCGCTAACGACAAACTCGTCCTTACGTATCCAGTTAAACCAATTCCAATGCAGCAAGTGGAGAAATTTATATTTTAAATGCGTAATATTGCATAGAATAACACGAATAGAAAGCTCTCACCTTCCTCAGTCTCATGCCACACAATACCCTCCAGATTGACGCTCGTTCCGGGTTGACATGGCTCCATGTAGCTGGACTCGAGGGCTTTCTCGGCTTCGTGTGTGTTTGTTCCGACTGACCGTGTCTTAACACTCAACTAAATATATAGAGAGAGAGAGAGAGAGCAAACACAGTGCCAGCTGAAGTAAAATGCAGTTTCTTGATCCTCAATTTGATCTGATAATGTTGATCAAGCATATAAATATCCAATTCAGCACTTAATCCTCCTCATGCAAGGAAAACACACAAATGGCGATGACAGCATCATCATGTCAGCATAATCAATGCAAAAGGAAAAAGACATGTAGATAAGTGTACAGGGACAATAGAGCAGGAGGGGGTGGAGCCTCTCGCTGTGTTTTAAACTGTAAATAACACACGAAAAGCATCTCGGCTTCAAACAAGCCAGTGTGTGTCTTTGTCCAGATTCACGAACAGGGGAATTATGATGCTTATGGTTTCCAATAGCAACAGACATGACGGTTTCACAAGGGCTGCATGCATAACAAAGGAAATGGCTGACAAACAAAAGAAAACCTGATATTGCGACGGATGGTGTTTAGGATTGTTCATATTCATAAAGAAGCACGTTTGGTGCATGAGAAGAAGAAGAAGGCTTCGTTCTCACACACACACACACACAGTGCATCCGCCATCGTTCAGTAGATTGACAGTTATTATGCGCGTATCCACTTGTAGGTGTGTGTGTGTGAAGGACAGATGTTTGCTTACCGAGCTCGTGTCGTCAATGTGTTCAACAATAGCCGCGTCCATTCCGCCTCTGCAAACGGGACTGTCGGTTCCGTTCTCGGGGAGCGGGCCGAACTCATCCCCGTGCTTCTCCTTCCGAGTCCTCGCCTGCTCCTTCTCTCTCCTCCCTCCTTTGCTCGGGGTTTTGCCTTTCTTCGCGTCTTTGCTGGCTCTGGCGCCCGCGTCGGGGCTGCTGTCCACTGGTGCTGAATTCATCTCCGCGACGCGTCCTTGAGCCTCGCGACGCTTTCCGACGCACACTTTAGGAATTCCGCTCACAATCTCTCTCTCGCAATTCCTTCGTTTCAGCTTGAATTTCTTGGGCTCCTTGCAGAGGAACGGGAGCGCGGCGCGCGCAAGGCCCGCGCCCGCGCAATCATACTCGAGCTCTTGATCGCGACCTTCCGTCGTGCTTTTAACGCTTAAAACGCGATTCATCTCCAATCTCTGTCGATCCTTCTCCAAATCCGCGTCCAGGTCGATGATCAGATTCCCAACCCCGATCTCCCAGTCATCCCCGCTGTCGTCCTGCTCTCCGTGTGTCCTGATCCTGTGATGAAGGGAGGAACTCACTGACATTCTCCTCCACACGGGATTTCTGACAGAAAACGGTGATGAATCCTAAATCAAGTGATGGGAGGGTATTAATCACACACGCGGTGCGGCGGAGATCACTCTCTCCACATTAAACTCATTAAAACACACCAGCATGTGTAATAAATGCCTTTAAACACTCTCGAGTGTGCGTGTGTGTGTGTGTGTGTGTGTAAATCAATCCAGGAATGCGTTTCAGAAACATATTTCTGTTACTTGACTTTGAATTATTGAAAGAGCATGTGTATTCGCTTGCGAGAATGTGTTCAAACATTACGGTTCATTCATGAAAACGTTATTTTGTCAATGTTCTAGTTATTAAATTTTTTTTTTCTTGTTACGTTAAACTTTAAGGGATTTTTTCCCCTCTATTTTATCATTTTGCGAGTATACATTACTTTCAGCCATCTGGAAAACGCATCAAACTAACATTGTTTCAGAAAAACAGTCTATGATTGATGGATAAAACGCATTTTTGTTCTTAAATGTTAGCCAAAGTTATCACTATCAACAAAACATATATTTAACTTTATTATACACTGTAAAAAAATATTGATGGTTTAACTTAAAAAAGTAGGTAAAGTTGCTTTAAAATTTTAAGTTGATTGAACTGGAATAAGTGAGTTAATACAATGAAGGAGATTAATTTTACCATCAGAAACTCAAAATAATAAGTTATCTCAACTAAATAAATTATTATAAAGTTGATTTGACAAAAGAAAAAATGTTGTGATTACTACACTGTAAAAAATATTGTTGGTTTAACTTAAAAAAGTAGCTAACTAACCTGGTTGCCTTCAAATTTTAAGTTGATTGAACTGGAAAAAGTGATTTAAAACAATGAAGGAGATTAATTTAACCATCAGAAACTCAAAATAATAAGTTATCTCAACTAAATAAATTATTATAAAGTTGATTTGACAAAAGAAAATATGTTGTGATAACAAATCTTGAAAATATTTTTTACAGTAAGACGCACACTCTCGCTCACACACACTCACTATCAACAAAACATATATTTAAGTTTATTATACACTATCTCTCTCTCACACAATGTAAAAAATATTGTTGGTTTAACTTAATAAAGTAAGTAACCTGGTTGCCTTAAAATTTTAAGTTGATTGAACTGGAAAAAGTGAGTTAATACAATGAAGGAGATTAATTTAATCATCAGAAACTCAAAATAATAAGTTATCTCAACTAAATAAATTATTTAAGTTGATTTGACAAAAGAAAAAATGTTGTGATAACAAATCTTGACAATATTTCACTCTCTACAAAACATATATTTAAGTTGATAATACTCAAACACACAATAATGCACAGAAACTCAAATTATCCAGTTAAAATCAAGGCTGTTTATTTCATATATTTGTCAGTGATCCTCCTGTTTAGGACAGTGTTTGACTCTCTCCATGATTATGAGTATTATTAAGAGTCGATTAGCTCTTCGATGATGCCAGAGTTTATAGTTTAGAGAACGCCAGCCTGAATGGAGAAGATGAACTGAAACACGGAGCGAGTTTGACTAGCAAAAGCAAAACTGAGGGCTTTTAACTCTGGGTTAGTGTAAAAATGGACATCAAAATGCATTTCAAGCATGTTTTTTAAGGTAGTGTCATTACATTAAAAATATGAAAATTTCTGTAAGAAGATTAGTTCAGCTCCATATATTAAATCTAAGACATAAATTAGTGATGTGCTGATTGTGAGCCGTTCCTCAGGAGTAGAAGGTCAGGACGCTCTGGTGGTTTCCTCGGACGAGGAGGATCGGCGGCAGGTCTTTGGAGAGCGTGTCCAGCCAGGACATGTAGAGCGCGCTGGACACCGTCCCCTTCCGGGCCAGCGGCATCGTTCTGAGGTCAGACGGGACAGGGTCGGGTCATAGGTCACAGGTCGACAGACACAGGCAGACCTCCAACATTCCTCACATTATCACAAATTAATATAAAATCTGACAAGCTGGATGAGTAAACTGGACAATATTTGAACATCTGGGAAACAATCCGATTTTTTTTTTTTTTTTGCGATTGTGCTTCATTCACACACATATGTAAAGTAGGAAATTTACTAAATATCTTCATGCATGATTTTTTTTCATGCATGATATTACTTAATATCCTAATGAATTTTGGCATAATTCTGAGAAACACCTGTGCGACTCGAGACATGAATTATGTTGAATATCTGTCAGCTGTTTAATTGTGACTGTGACTCACATGACGATGAGGTTGGCTGTGCTGGAGTGTTCCTTCAGGAGCTCGTTCAGACGGATTTGACGATTCGACTTCATGAAAGAAGAAAGAACTGATGTCACTCACATTATTTCTGTTCATATCAGTTTAACATGCAAATTCTTTACATTTCTACAGAAATATTTTTTTGTAGATCGGGATGGGAATCATAAAAGGGTTTCAGTTTTGAGGACGGATCCATCGTGCAGTGTGAACACACACACACACACCAGTGACTGAATGCTAACCCGGATACTCGTGCACACACACACACACACACACACACACACACACACCTTGGCCCTGTAGAGCTCCAGCTCATTGTCTGTGATCCTCCAGGGCTCGTCCGTCTTCAGTCTCTCCGCCGCTTCTTGCTCCATGTCGTCCTCCCTCAGTCTGTACGGCTCGATCATCTCCTGAAACATCTGCTTACTGACAACACAATCACACGGTTTCTGGAGGATCTGGGCCAAACATGCTCATCGGCAGTGTTGGGGACTCATCAGATTATGTCAAGGAACCAGTAATGCACTACTTTTAAAATTTACAACAAAACATCCCTGTTATTTCTTAAAATATAATGCAAGTTACTTTGTAGAGACTGATATGTCTCCTGTCCCCATGTTGAAACAAATGGAAGTGCAGAGGCATGTGTGTGAACATGATATTGTAGTTCTAGACTAAAAGTGAGTGTGCATTTACTCGTCTCACTTGCACAGAAAAGATTCAGTATTCCTCAAAATGAAAAAACAAAAAACAGTCAAATGCAAAATCAGACTATGCATAATTAAATGTTACATAAAAAACAAATATTCGTATGCATTTAACCCTTATGCTGCATTAGGGACATTTTTGGTCTATTGCAGTTTAATTTCTTTGACCATTTTGGCTGTTTTAATGCAAATGGTATGAAATTTGGCAAAATTGTGACTTTTTGGATACATGTAAAAAATGTGATCCCATTTTGCAAAATATGTATAACACACACTGTGTAGATCAAATAGTAACACTCAGCACCATAAAGACCAAAAATGGCCCATTGAAACCCATTAAAACGTTGTTTAAATCTGAGGCTGTCAGTAATACATGAAACATGATTTTTGCACAAACATCCTTTCATTTTGAAGCAAAAGCATTATATTTGCATTATATAGTGTATTCCACCAGATGACGTCACTACATATTTATTCCCTATGGGTGGAAATGCACCTTATTTTAGGCAATAGGCAATGTTTAATAGGTGGCCATTTTTGGTCTCTAACGCGCTAAGTGGGATTTTTTGCAAAGTGGGACTGTGATAATCCAAATCTAAAGTTTTCTCTTTGCATTTAGTTTATTGAAAATAATTGAATTTTTGTGTTTTTTCCTCTTATACAAATCGATGGTTTCGCAAACAAAACTGGTAATTAAAGGGTTAAAATCCTGAAATTTAATACATTTTTGGTAGTTATGATGAGGACTGATGCTGGTTAAAAGATTTATCTTGGTAAAAGTGAAAAATAATAATAATATATAATATTTTAGGCAATGTTTAATATGTGGCCATTTTTGGTCCTTAATGCACTCAACGGTGTTAAAAATCTAATGCAGCACAAGGGTTAATTTCACTTTATTGACCAATGTAGTTTATATTGACTACTAAAAATGACTTTATATTTTTAGTTTCTATTGGCCAAGGTGTGTTTGAGCGCCCTCTACTGGACACGCTTGAATCTGCACTTCCTTCAGTCTGAGGCTTATTTCAATTTTGGTGTCTTTATTTGCTCAAAAATAGCATTTTTGGTTATAAAGCGGCCAGACCAGGTGAGCAAAAGTAACACAAAAGTAACATAAATGTAACGCATTACTTTTCTTAATAAGTAACACAATTAGTCATTTTTAAGCGAGTAACGCAATATTGTGATGCATTGCTTTTCCCCAACACTGCTCACGACTGATCTGAACTTACTTGTGTTTCTTCGGCTTGATGTTGATGTCTCCAATAACAGTGATGTCCGAGAAATCAATCCTGAACTTACTGAGCAACGCCGCCATCCTGTGCCAGAGCAAAAGCTTTAGCAGTTTACACGGCAAACATGGGATTTTTACTCAATGTTCTTGTCTTCCAGCACAAATATTGTTAAATCAAGACACATTTACTGGGGAAGAAAAATCACTGAATATACCAAGTCTCGTTTCCTGAGTCAAAATGAAGTGAGTTTGAACAAATATCTGCAGTACCAGAAAGATAAAGTTCATTGAAAGTGAAAGGTTTGTACTGCATTATCTGATTATATCCCATTTAAAACGTTTGATTTGATAAAGTTTGGACACTAATTTAAAGGAGTAGTTCACTTTAAAAAAAAACTTTAGCTGATAATTTACTGACCCCCATGTCATCCAAGATGTCCATGTCTTTCTTTCTTCAGTCGAAAAGAAATGAAGGTTTTTGATGAAAACATTCCAGGATTTTCTCCATATAATGGACTTCAATGGGGACCAAACGGTTCAAGGTCCAAAAGACAGTTTCAGTGCAAACTGTTCAAAGGGCTTTAAACGACTCCAGTCGATGAATAAGGGTCTTATCAAGGACCCTTCGAGTCATGACTCGGAAAAAGATTTGTTCATTTTGATGAACGAGTTCGAACAGGAGAGTCACGAACGCTTATAAAACTTAAACTTTGTTATTTATTTATTAAACGAGCGCTCGTTTCGCTTGATAAGACCCTTATTCATCGTCTGATGTCGTTTAAAGCCCTTTGAACAGTTTGCACTGAAACTGTCTTTTGGACCTTGAACCATTTGGTCCCCATTGAAGTCCATTATATGGAGAAAATCCTGAAGAAAGGAAATCTTCTTTTCGACTGAGGAAAGAAAGACATGGACATCTTGGATGACACGGGGGCGAGTAAATTATCAGCCAAAGTTTTCTCAAAAGTGAACTACTCCTTTAATTTGTTTCTAGTGATCTGACGAGGCTTTTGTTTAAATGATTCAAACTAATTCTGCAGACAAATATAAACTGTTTTTAAATGAAATAATTTGTGCAATAAATGCATTGAACACGTTTAGAACGGTTCGTAACACTCACGCTCGGCGGTCGTGGTCGATCCGGTTGATCTTTCCTCCGATGAACACGCGGATCTTGCAGTCGCGCCATTTCTTTTTGTTGGTCAGCAAATACGGTATCAGAAGAGTCAAGCCTACGACAGCGAATAACTTATTAAAGTGACAAGCTCTCACAGGATATAATGAAGGCTAAGAAAACAGTCAAACCAGAATATACTCATGTCCCCCATGATCAGTGTATTGGCTATAGTCGGAGATAAATGTGAGCAGAACTCAGTGTTTGATATGGGACTGGTTTTGTCCGTCCTTCTGTTGGACTCTCACACATGAATTATGTTGAATATCTGTCAGCTGTTCAATTGAACTCCACAATTAGATAATAGCAGTTTAGCTCAAGCAATGCTTCATGTTGTTCAGTGTGTGTGTAAAAAGAGCATTAGCACTTACAGATTGTATATTCAATCAAAAGTACATTAAAGCTGTAATATCACGTGACCTCCGTCGTCGAACAGCCACCACACGTCGATGGTCCCCTTGCTCTGCTTCCTCTGGAACTGCTGGCTGGCGTTGAGGAGCCTCTCGTCCGCAGAACTGAGCGGCAGGCGGAGCTTCTTCGAGTCTGCCGTCAAACATCAGGTGCAGATCACAAAACAGAACTGAAGTGTTTTTATAATAATTATAATGCGCTTTACATTGAAGGAGGAATCTCCTCAACACCAGATTTTGAATATGTGAAGCAAATGTTACATTGTATCATTCTTCAGACGTCATGGAATGTTCATTTTGAATGTTCTCGGAACGTTCCGAAACAAGTCGCAACATTTAAAAAATGTTATATGAACATCCAAACTCTGCACGAACAATCTATAGTAGGCCTTATGTTTTTGTGCTAATGTTTTGAGAACATTATTAAAGACTAGAAAATCTTGAATGAACGTTTCATTAAAGTCCCGCTGCAGTTTATTTGTTAAAACTCATCTTTGATCACATATTTAAATGTTTTTTCCATTATTCCTTAAAATATCTTGAATGTAACTCGACACCCTCGCCTCATTTAGTATGCGTGGTTTTATGAATATGCAAATGAGCCCCGCCTCCACTCACTCAGAGATCATCCACTGGTTGACTCACACACGTTGATCTGATTGGTTACGAGGTGGTTTGTGGCGTCAGAAACACCAAAGTGTGTTTTTGAGACTGTCTTTGGTTCACTGCAGTTTTAAGGAGGAAATACTCAGCAATGCTGTCCACTTATCAACGCACACGCGGTTAAAGCGGATTAAACACATAGACACATAAACAACATTAAACGCTGGATTTACACCACAGGGAGACTTTAACGTTACTGGAGGAACGCTTGTTTCATAAGTTTGAGGGAATCTTCCCAGAACGCCCTGTTAGCCTTTGAATAAACTAGAGTACATTTGTATGCCATAATACACCGGAGTTCAGTCAACGCTCTTGACCTCTGACCTCTGAAGATGAGCGGGCTGCTTTGACAGCTGGTGGCTATAGATGATGGTTTGGAGGAATCGCTGTCGAAGTCTTTGATGTTGATGGACACCAGGAGATCCTTCACTCCAGACGTCTTCTCCTGCGACGACAGAAACTCATCTGGAGAAAGAGCAGCGGCGTTACAATCATGAAGACCACACGGATGACGCTTCACTTCAGTTAATCAAACTCCACCTTGAATGTGAGAGATGTCGAGACCTTCCTTCAGTCTCAGGAGAACCACCCCGAACTGCAGGTCAAACGCATCACTGAGAATATGAGGAAATAATCATAAAAACCTGCTGTAGTCCAGACAAAACAGCATCACACTCAGAAATATGGACTCTTTAATGGCTGTAATTCATGAATACTTGAAGAAAAAACTCCAATCACTGCAAAAATGCTTTTCTCACTTAATATTTGTGTCTTGTTTCCAGTCCAAATATCGAAAGAATTATTAATCATGATGCATTTACTAGAGGAGTAAAATGACATCAGATATTAAGTCTTGTTTTCCAGGGGAATTCATCAAAATTAAGTGATTTGTTGCTAAATGATCTGCCAATGGGGTCAGAAAAATAATGTTAACTCAAACAGAAACAAGATTAGTTTTCTGACCCCATTAGCAGATCATTTAGCTTGTTTTAAGCAAAAACTCACTCGTTTTGATTTATTTCCCCAGAAAACAAGACTTAATATCTGATGTCATTTTACTCATCTTGTAATAATCATTTTTAGATATTTGGACTGGAAACAAGACACAAATACTTAGTGAGAAAAGCATTTTTTGCAGGTGTAAAATTGTATATATGTGTAGGTTAACACTAAAGCACATCCACTAAACTAAACAAAATACATATTTTAATAGAATAATTTGGCCTCTAAAAAATGCTGTATTTCGAACAAATTGTGTCCCAAACTTTAAGTTGATATCACAAAACTTTTGCCGCTAAATTGTTTTAAAGTAGCATTTCTATTTTTTCACAGGATGAGTGCAATGATAAATAAAGTGTGATAAAGGCCCTCGCACACATCTATCTTCACACGTTAAAAAATAAATACGACCTCACGTTATCAATCACGCTATCATCATAAAAATATTCGGATCGGGTTCGATTTTCTGCGTTTTCCGCATCCGAAGCTCAAGCAGTTTGACGATTCAGAGCCGCCGGGTCACAGGTATGAACAAACGGACTCGTGTGTGTGTGTGAGGGCCTTTAACACGTTAAAGATGGAGACAGAAGGAGACTCGCTGGATGGTGTTGATGTAGGTCTCCACGTCCTTCATCTCGCCGTCCCTCCAGTTGTTCTTAAAGCCGAACACGAGTGTGTTTGGTTTCAGCCGACCCAAACCAGCCGTCTGTCAATCAAACCACATCAGATTCATCTTACACTGTAGAGTCTGTAATTGTTTGTGAGATTTGCTAGAAATATCTAAGAAAACGGCAAGAAATCCATTAAATTACATGTGAAGTTTATAACATAGTTCAAAAATAGTTTTTACACTGCAGTTTTAGTGTTTCTGCCTTATTCTCCAGCACAAATATCTAAACATTCTTAAATCAAGATAGAGTCTGAACTCAAAGGGGAAACAAGAGTATTTCTGTCACTCCATTAGCAGATTTAAGCATGAATTTCATTAATTTTGATGCATTTTAATTAGACAAGGCTTAATATTTTCAGCCATTGCTTCTTCTCCAGTAATCGTGTCTTGATTTGAAGATGTTCTGTGCTGGAAAACGAGACAGAAACACTGAGGAAGAACGTTACGTTTGCAGTTCAGGAGTGTGTGTGAAGCCGTCTGTCAGATTACACCGGTTCACGTCTTCACTACATGAGCTCTTCATCTACAATGACTCGTATTTCTGACCTGTAGGAGATACTGGGCTCCTTGTCTGAGATCGTCAGCAAACACTGGGGTGTAGAACGCTTTGATTCGGGCCTTCAGGAGCCAGCGCTGGTAGCGGACCTGCTCGTTCATCATCTCCTTATAGTTCGGCCGCCGGTATCCCTGCGGGAGAACGACAGAACAACTGCAAAAACTGAGAAAATACACAGCATTTTAGTTGTTTCCCAAAACGCCTCATTTACGGTTTCACAAACCAGGGACAGTTGGATCCAAACGCAACCATTTATTAACAAACATAAGCTGAAGAGTCAATCCAAACACAGGGAAAGAACTGAAACAGAACAAAAACAGAGGATAACTAGGAACAGGCGAGGGTAATCAATCACCGTGGCAACACATGAGGGTAACTATAGAAACACAGGAAAACAGGATGTGAACACTTGGAATGATAGGAAAAGAAAGTACACTTCAAATTAAAAATCCAAGCAAAAATTTTTGTTAAAATAATATTTTTCATTTAAAATGTTGTATTTTTAAAGACTTTTATGATAGTATTTATGCAATAATTATGATCTATTGGTTTCCATTAAAAAAATCTAATTAAAAACAAATTGTTCATTAACCCCTTCATTGCGACGTGCTTATTTCTGCATCGTGTCTGATTTGTTGATAGTAAAAAAAAAATTATTTTTCTCATTCATATCTATAATGAATAATGGTGGTCAGTTTTGATTATGAGGAGCTCAACTGTGACCTTCGAATCGTTACAGGATTTTTTTCCAGAGCTACAAAAGTCACATTCTGAGAAAGTAAAACACTTTAAAAACAAAAAGTAAAACTTGAATGAAAAACACTACAGGATTAAATCAAGAGACATTCACTTGAGGAGCAAAATACCTTACATTAGGTCTTGTATCCTAATAAACGTGTCAAAGATAAGAGAATTTATGCTAAAACCCCCAAAACCAGATATCTGCCAATGGAGTCAGAATTCAGAGTTCAGATTATTTTGGAAACGCTTCACAATAAGTCGTTTATGAACTAACATCGACTATCAATACTTTAACGGCATCCAGCGCATGTTCATTTCACCATTATATACATGTTTAAGGTCAAAAGTGTGGTTAATGCACTGTGCATGAATATAACATCGCTTCTCCAGTAAATGTCTTTTGATATTTGTGCTGGAAAACCAGGAGGAACATCATGTTTGCAGTTTCACACTGAAGAAAGGCTGACGTGTGTGTTGTTGAGGGACGTACAGAGCGCACGTGTCCGCACACCATCAGGCCGGAGTTGTTGGTGAAAGCGTGGACGAGATACATCAGCGCCGGCCGAGAGTTCGGGTATCCGGACATGACGAGACACTGAGGCCTGTGGGAACATCAGACGTTCAGTTCTAACAAATCAGCTCTGGGAAATATTCATAATCAAAAATAACTTTATTAGCAACCACCCAAAATACATTAAAACACCCTAGCACCCACCCGAAATACCTTAGCAACCGCCTAGCAACCACCCAAAATACATTAAAACACCCTAGCACCCACCCGAAATACCTTAGCAACCGCCTAGCAACCACCCAAAATACGTTAGAACATCCTAGCAACCACCCAGAACACAATACCAACCATCCAAAATACCTTAACAACCGCATAGCAACCACCCGGATCACCTTAGCACATTTAAATTACTTCAAACTATTTTAAAATTCAAACTAATTTAAACTTTAGACTAATTTAAATTTTAAACTGATTTAAACTTCCAACTACTTTAAACTTTCTGTTCCAAACTTTCACAAGCCAACTTAAAGTTTGTCTCGACGAACTTTTTCTGTTATGATTAATCATGAAAATTTCACAGAGCTGATTTGTGACTCACGTTAATGTGGTCCAATGTGTCTACACTTTTAAACATGCTGGTTTGGGTCAAATATGGACAAACTGTGGGTTAAAAATGTAACCCAACAGCTGGGTTTGTCCATATTTGACCCAAAGTTGGCTTGAAACAACCCAGCATTTTTTTTTTTTTTTTTTTTTAAAGTTGTTTTACAAATGTCTATAACTGATGTAAGGGTCTTGGTTATGGATTATGATACCGGTTTATTTGGGAAATATCATATACACAAAGCAAAATGTATGCTAACTGCACTAAATGGTAGACTATTTTCCCCTAACTGAAGTTTTTGTGACTTCAATACAGAACAATCGTAAAGCTGTCGGCAAGGATACTTGATCTCACTTTTTTATACATTCAAGTGTTTTCACTGCAACTCAGTATTTTAGTCTTGTTTGCAGCCCAAATATCAAAAATGTCTTAAAGCAAGATCCATTTACTAAAGTAATAAAACACCATAAGATATGAAGTCTTGTTTTCTGACTAAATAAATAAAAACAAAGTGTTTTAGCCATCTGACCGAAAGTTCTTGATGTGGTCCTCGACCCCGGTGAGATGCAGAGAGTGTGTCAGGGCTTTATTGTACATCAGCGCTTGTGTGGACGACCCCCAGTTCACGTCTGCGGCAGAAACACACACTTCAGCCTCTGACGCACACACTCATGATGTTACACACGATCAACAACACTTTACAATCAGTACTCACACTAGTTAACATTAAAAGACGCTTTTATGCAAAGTGACAGTAAACACATTTATAATGTTACAAAAGATTCTATTTCAAATAAATGCTGTTCTTTTTGAACTATTTATTCATCAAATATTTCTAAAAATGGGAAATAATCATAAATGTGTCTTGATCATCAGATCCTCATATTAGAGTGATTTCTGAAGGATCATGTGACACTGAAGACTGGAGTAATGATGATCAACGTGTGTGAGTCAACCAGTGGATCTCTGAGTGGAGGCGGGGCTCATTTGCATATTCATAGAACCGCGCATACTAAATGAGGCGAGGGTGTCGAGTTACATTCCAGATATTTTAAGAAAAAACGTTTAAAATGTAATTTTGGTGATCAAAGATGAGCATTAAGGGATATAATGATTGACTACAGGGGGACTTTATGTTGCACATAATCATATATCAGATCTGACCTGGTTTCTTATAGCTGACGTATATGTAGAGCGCCAGGACGATGCCGTTGGTGACCAGCGCCGCCCACCAGTTGATCACGAACATCACGGCGCAGCACAGCACGGCTCCGGCCAGCGACACCCACTTGTTGTAGTATTTGAAACTCGGACGCCACCCTGTGCAGACGTCAATCAAGACACACTTCATCAATCACCCCTACACCCTCATTAGCGCATTGCTATTTAAGGGGACGGCAATGTTATTCAATCCCACAATGCACTGTGATAATGAGTGCACAACAACGGCTGTCCGAATTCACTCACTCGTTTTCTTATTAGTGGACTAACGTAGGGAGCAGTGAACGAGGGTTTAGGGGACGAGACTCAGAGGAAAGGACACTTGCCTGGAGAGTTCGCCAGCGACGCGTGGAAAACAGAGAAGTTTATCAATGCGTACGAGGCCAAGAAGAAGTTGGAAATGATGGGAGCGATGATGTTTAACTCCGCTGAAACACAAACACACGTTATCCTAGACACACAGTCAAACCCCAATATACTCCCATGATCAGTGTATTGGCTATAGTCGGTGAGCAGAACTCAGTGTTTGATATTGGACTGGTTTCGTCCGTCCTTCTGTTGGACTCTCGCACATGAATTATGTTGAATATCTGTCAGCTGTTAATAACCACACAAACATTATTCTCTTAAAAATACAAACATGTACATACATGTTGTTCAGATATTATGGTAGCCGCGTTTGTGCTATACAGAGTGAATTTACACCTTTGCCATTAACGTGTTTATAAATCATGGATGTCAAAACATCCCAAGGACCCCAAATACACCTTGGTCCCCAGGGGGTTCAATTGAACTCCACAATTAGATAATAGCAGTTTAGCTCAACCAGTGAGCAAGCAATGCTTCATGCTGTTCAGTGTGTGTGTAAAAAGAGCAGAAAACACACTTCAGCTCAAAGTGGAGGAACAATCAGTTACGGTAATTTCTATTATCACTGTAAAGCTGCTCTGAAACGATCTATCCTGTTAAAGCGCTGTATAGATGAAGGACACTCGCTGTATAGAGTGAGGTGGAGGTGATTCACCGATCAGGATGAAGGCCAGGCCGATGACGAAGGTGAGGACGTACGCGCGCAGAGGCTCTTTGTTCTTTCCATATCCTTTGGCGAACACATGTAATCCAGGGTAGATTTTATCCTTACACAAGGCCTGCAGAAACACACACACACACACACAATCATCTCATAAGTTAAAAACAGAAAATACATCATCATTTACTATATGCATTTGGCAGATGCTTTTAACCAAAGTGGCTTTCATTGCATTCAAACTATTAAACATTTTGTTGACTTCATGCATTATCCTTTCGAGAGCGCTTTCATCTGTATCTGATGATTATGCAATAAATTACCCAATCGTGCGAAAATCAGAAAGCACAAGCTTTAGTATCGGGTTGCCATGTTGAAACCCTTAAAATAACAGTAGAAAATCGTGAAATCAACAGTGGACGTCATTGACACTGACATTACCACACATGGAAAATGTGCAGATGCAAACGGCTCAATAATATGTTTCTGTGTGTTTTTCTTTGGCTGCACATCTCATTATATATTACTCATTAGATCGGTTGAAAGTGATGCACACATTAATTAAATTAAAGACTAATAATCATCACATTAGATGAAGTTCTCAGGACTTTGGCAAGCGTTCGGTCAAGGTTCTCTGAAAGTTACAAACAAACAAACTCTACAGTGATGTAATAAAACATTCGTTAAAAGTTATCTGGTCTTTAATAATGACATTATTCATACATCATTCATGAAGATCTTTTTATTAAATGATTTGAAAACCTGAAATCATGACTTTCTGAAAACAGTCATGACAAGATAAAAATTCTGACAAAAAAGTTGAAATTATTAGTCAAATTTATAAGATAAAATGAAATTATAATAGTCAATTAATTATATGACAAAATTAATTATTACATACAATCTAGTCAAAATGAGATGTAAACTCAGAATCATGAAATAAAAAGTTGATATGACATTCATATTTATGAGATAAAAGTCGAAGTTATTACATACGAAGATGAATTTATGACTAAAAGTTGAAAGTAAGAAAATTTTATGAAGTTAAAAACTAATCTTGTTTCTGCTTGAGTTGAGATTATTTTTCTGACCCCATTGGCAGATAATTTTGCTTTTTTTAAAGCAACAACTCACTTTATTTTGATTAATTCCCCAGAGAACAGGACATAATATCTTATGTAATTTTACTCATCTAGTAAACGCATCTTGATTTAAGACTTTTTCGATATTTGGACTGGAAACAAGACTCAAATACTGAGAAAGAAAAGCATGCATGTTGTGTGGCCCTGACCTCAGTTAACCTCTGACCTCAGAAGGATCTGAACACTGACCTGGAAGACTTTAGGAGCGCTGACCAGAGACGCCAGCGCCGACGAGAGCGTAGCGGAGAAGATCCCAGCGGTGATGAGCGGCCCGAACCCAGACACCAAACTCATCACCTGACAGAACCACACACCACATCATCACAGAACCATCAGTGACATCATCACAGAACCATCAGTGACATCATCACAGATTTTTTTTTTTTTTTTATAAGATATTTTAAGGCATGATTTAAAAAAATATGCAATTTTGGTGATCAAAGATGAAATGATTGACTACAGGAGGACTTGGATTGACTGGTAGTGTGTGTATTCTATATAACCATGATTATATAAGCACATCTTACGCTCACACACACACACACCTGGAAGTCGTTCTGAAGCCCGTACTTGCAGCCTCCCTCTCTGCAGATGGAGAAGTCGAACCCGAGCGAGCACGAGGCGTCGGTGCAGTTCTCCAGCGAGCCCACGATCGTGTCGTTATCATCGCCGGTGGCGTCGCGCACGATACAAGAGCCTGAAACACAGCAAACACACGTCGCGTCTGACCACACACTCCACACCACAAGCTCAAGTTCACGTTTATTTAACTTTGTTTTGAATGTAAAGTTTCATTTTGCAGGAGAATTGACTTAAAAACAAGCAATGCAGTGTTGACCTCTAACCTCCAGACAGAGGAAGAGCGTTACCGTTAGAGACGGCGACAGCGATGTAAACCAGTCCAGTGATGAGGATCGCCAGCAGAGTTCCTTTGGGAATCGCCGACTGCGGATCCTGGAGACCAACATCATCCATGAAAATACACACAAACAATGAAAGAAGTCATGCACTGAAAACTCTACAACCAAAAATTCAGAGATTATGACGTTTTACCAGCAAACAATCAAAGTCATGATCAAACGTTCTTCCAGTAACATTAATAAAGTCCAGATATATTTGAACCAACGTTCCATTAATGTTCTCAAAAATGTTAGAACAAAAACATTATTTCAACATCATTCACAGAAAGAAGAATTCTGTTACATTTCAGTTTTTTAAATATTACTAATCGTTTCAAAACTTTCAAAAGTAACGTTCCCATAATGTGTGAAGAGTGGACTGTTCCGTAACGAACCAGAGAAGAAAACGTTAAAAAAACAGAGATTCTGTGTCTCTTTAATGTGTACGATAATCTCTTTCTCTTCACTATAGTTACAGCAGCAAATAAATATGAATATGAACATCAGAAGGAATGATGAAGATACAGAACAACTTCCTGAAATCAATCAATAAAACCCCTTCAAACGTCCAGTGTCCATAAAGTCCATATCAGATAACTCTAGAGAGGAGCGTTTGATTCATATATGCACATATTCATGATATTTTTACTTTACCAGCGGTCTTACATATTACATATTTAATGCATGTTTGAATAAATTTATAATGAAAACAAGTTAAGACAGCCAGCGTTTGAATGTTTAACTTATATAGCAACAAACTGGAGTAGAAAAAATAAATATGACTGAAAATGTTTGCAAAACTCAGTTTTTAATTTGAGAGTTGATGATTATGTTTGGTTTTGTGTTTTGGTCTCTCACCGCCAGGTCTCCGGATATGTTGGCTCCCGCGAGGATCCCGGTGGCGGCCGGGAAGAAGATGGCGAACACCGAGAAGAAGGTTTCTTCATCCCTGAAGTCTGGACCCATGTTCTCCATCATTATGGCGGCTTGGAGAGGAACGACAGAGCTTTGAGTGTGAGGAGTCAGCATGAACACAATCTGGGCCCAGTGTAACACCTGTATGATCATATGCGTGTGTGTGTGTGTGTGTGTGTCCCTCAGTGTGCTAATGATGAAGCTCCACGACCAAAAAACGCAACGAGCATGCAGCTCTATGTGTAACTATTCAAATTTCAACTTTTTTCCCTTCCAAAAATACATGTGAAATTAAAGACCCGCTGCAATCAAAGTGTAGCCTACGTTTTAGCTTTGAGTATGAATATGAATATGTTCACCTTAAGGTTATGAATAAGATTCACATGAGATATTAGCATTCAAAACGTGCTAAAATGGATCATCACCGCAGACTTCATCTTCTGTCCAATCATATGCTCTCTAGGATCTAAAGCTCCGCCCCCTTTTCTATAAACACCACCTGACCGAAGCGACCGTTGACAGACACGGTTATTTTTATATATATATATGTGTGTGTGTGTGTGTGTGTGTGTGTGTGTTTGTTCAGTCTGCGAGTTTTATTCTGTTTTCCAACTGTACGTTGCTCAAGAATGAAATGAGTAGAATTTATTCACACTTCTATTCTTGAATCCAGCGTATCGTCAGCGCTCGGATTCGCTTCTAATGGTGCTGTCAGTCGGTGAGGTAAACAAAACGCTATTGGCTATTTGAAAAGGGGGAGGAGCCAACAATAAGCCCCGCCTTTCCTCCCGTTTCAGTGGAGATTACGTCAACGCATCAAACAAAGCTGCGATCCAAGGACTTCAAATATCACCTTTCATGCTGTATCATAAAAGTCATGAACTCCTCCTGGACTGATTCATTCTGATATCAAACTAGAGCAGATCCCACCGTTATAACTGAAGAAGCCTTTGGGTTCCTTTGACTCCATCGGGATGAAGGATCCGATGAAGTAGTTGAATATCGCCGCCACAAGAATCACCAATAACACAATCTGGGCCTGTCGAAGATCATCAATATATCACGAGATTAATAACTACTACAAGAAGAAATCTGAATCCATATAGGAGTGTGCCGACCTTCGCTTCCCACTCCATTCCAGCGATGGAGATTCCCAGCAGCAGAATCACAGTGAGCGTTCCCACGATCCGGATGTCATTGATCTCGTCGGTCATCAGAGCGTCGATGCTCTGACAAACACAGAGTGTGGAAGACATGCACATTAAATAATGACAATTATTCATGCTTACTCGTGGATTTGAAAGGATCTATTCATCCGAGGTTTTGCGCTTATACTCACATCCAGAAGTTCCACGACAGTCTCCGCGAACCCCACGACGTACATGGCCACCGCGACGGCATTGGCGAAGGCGAAGATCAGGCCGATGGATCCTCCGAACTCGGGCCCCAGACTCCTGGAGATCAGGTAATACGCGCCGCCTACACACACACAATCATATTCACATATTCAGATCAAATTATGACTCAAACGTTCAGAACAGAAAGTAGAACGGGAACAGGACATCATCTGCAACAACAACACAACAAAAAAGATCTATACATTTAAATACACAGTAATAATAAGTATTTTTTTGCATTAAACATTTTTTATATTATAATGTCTATCAAAAATCATGTAAATTATATTTTATTTTATTTATTTGGAATTTGTTCAGTTATGGGAGAATTTTTTTTTGAATGAAATGCAAAAAAACATACAAAAATTCTAACTTCAAAACTGATATATTATAACTAAATTATAATATAAATGAGTTCATGATAAATTCCATGCAACATTTTTTTTTCTTACACAAATAATTGGCAATTTAGTCATCAGATTAGCAAATAATGTGATTGTTAATTACACTGTAAAGAAAAGCTTAAGCAAAGTTTAATTAATCTGCATAAATCAGACTAATTTTGAAAAAAACATAAACCATCTCTAGCTATTTGAACTCTTGACATTTTTTTCTAACAGATTATATAAATACAGGTATTGTATACAGGTAAATGTTTGGGGTCAGAAGGTCAAGTAATGAATACTTTTATGAATCAAAGACACGTTAAATTGATCAAAAGTGACAGTTAAGACATTTATAATGTTACAAAAGATTATATTTCAAATAAATATTTTAAATATCTGTTCTTTTGAACTTTCTATAAATCTAAGAATCCTGAAAAATAAAATGTATCACAGTTTCCACAAAAATATGAACACTGATAATCATCATAAATGTTTCTTGATCATCAGATCCTCATATTAGAGTGATTTCTGAAGGATCATGTGACACTGAAGACTGGAGTAATGATGATAAATTCAGGAATAAATTACACTTTACTGGATATTCATATGGAGAACAGATGATTTACACTGTAAAATAGTGTATGTTTGATCAGATAATGATTCTGGTTTGCATGTTTCTGGTTACTATAAGTGTGTGTGTGTGTGTGTGAGCGCGCTGACCTCCGCGCACGAAGCCGTTGGTGGCGATCGCTGACGTGGACAGGCCGGTGATGGTCGTCACCACGATGGCCATGAGGACGATGGCGCAGGACAGCGCTGAATCAGATCAAGCACACATTCATCATCTATGATCATACAACACAAACCAATCTTCCAATCTTCTGACCTGTAATGCTCCTGAATCATAATCATAATCATAATCACACACTGTTGGTGCGTTGGCCAGAGCAGACCCGAGCGACTGTTTCTTACAAGAGTTTCCTTCACTGTCGCCTTTGTCTTGCTTATTTGTGGACATTTAATATTCATCAGTATTATTAATCTCCTGCACTGACACTATTATACACCACAACTGAACTGAGCTGGACGATGACATCACGGTTTACTCCAGATATATATATATATATAAATAAACTACATTAATCACTGACACACTATAATTAATTATTTTATTGAAAGTGTTTCTACATTTTGTATCACCGGCTGGTTTGGAAATGTCTCAGGGAAATATAAGAGTACACTTAGACACTGATTGGTATCCCTTTAAGAGGTCTTGAATACATTTATCAAATGCCTTATTAAAGCAAGGACAATTATATCACACAATAGACATCCTTTGTTTGATAATTTTGAGGACGAAGATTTAGGATGCCGGCCATTTTTAAAAACGGGGAAAAATTCATTTGTGCCACAGGCGGTAAAATAATTTAATGACAGGTAGTGTTGGTGTCCACTGAGCGGGTCTCAGTGAAAACGAAAATGTGTATTTATATTCATATATAAATCTTGTTATTTGTTACATGCATATTGTTGGTCTTATCTGTACGCATGTTGAAACACAAGCAACAAATTCCCTAAGGGGATAATAAAGAAATAAAGTAATGCGTGAGCGGATCCGCGTACCGATGCCAGCCTGACCCACGATCCACGACATCCGGATGAACAGCATCACTCCCCAGATGTTCAGCATGCATCGTATCTGCACACCATCAACACAATAAAACACTGTGTGTTATGCAGGCCAGACATGTCATTCATTTTTACAATTAATGCTTATATTAACTTCTTTTTTTAAATGTGATATCCCAAAATTAGCATAAAAATAGGTGGAACGAAACTGCATTATTGGACTGTTAAAAGGGTCACACATGAATATTGTAGAGTAAGATTACACGCCTGTGCACATATATATTCAAACGCTCATATCTATAGAGTAAACACGTGATATGCATGCGTGCGCCAGATTGACGTTTTTTGAAGTTTGCACAGAGATGATCACGCTTTTCTACATTTTTCAAAGTGTGTGTTCTCGAGCTCAAACACTGCTGTGTGCGAATGAACGTCCAGAACACATTAACAGTTTCTGTTTTCAGTTCAATTAAGTTAATCCCTAACGATCTTCACAACTTTATCTGGATGATAACTTTATTCTAGATCTGCTGTAAAGCCTAAACACTCTGTGACTGTAAATAATAAGATATGTAATAGTTTTGGGCGCTAACCTCTTACAATAACACAGGCGGAGGTTGATGACGCAGCGAATAAGCGGAATTATGGAACTTGTCGTCATGCCGATGGATGTAATAATGTTTCTGGACGAGTGAACGATGTTTTATCATGACTGTGGCGTACTAATGAGAGACAGATCTCAGCGCCACACGCGAGTCCCGCGGATATACAGGAATGAGGACATTTCTACCGTTTCCTTTCTCTTGCTCTACACTATCACACTAAACTGCATTTGAGTGCACAAGTTATAATGTAATTCTATGTGTTCGTTTGTTTGTCTGTGCACGAGATCAACATTAGAATAACATACTGATCATTTCTAAAATCTCATCGTGTTGAGCTGTACAACATTGATTAGTTTTATGTACATTTGCTCACTGTCTAATAAAGCTCACGCGAGAGCGAGTCGAAGTTAGCCGCGGACGCTAGCTCTCGCGTCTCGAAATCGCCACGCTGTTACTGATCCGCGTTTTAGTTCTCCTTTTGTCCCAAAGTCTGCTTGCCATGATCCGTAATGCTTGAACGATAGCGTGAGCGTTCCGCTAGACGTAACGCAGCTGTCGCCTGTCGCCATGGTTACTACGGCAGAACGAGCGGACACCAGGGATAGCGCGGATATGACGTCAGTGACAGGCGACGCGTGAACAGGGATGAGACATTATTTTAAATTGGAATCTCTCTGAAATTAAAAATCTTTGGGAACTTTTGGGATGTGTGTGTGTGTGTGTGTGTGTGTGACGCTGACCAGGACTCCTTTGATCCAGCCGAACTTCACTGTTCCTCCTTTAGAGTCGGACGCTGCTTTGAGTGTGAGGATCTCGGCGGCCGCCAGCTCTTCTCCGCTGGGAAACCCCTCCTCGAACGGCTCCTGCAGAACACACACACACACACACACATCAGCACCATACACAACACACGTGTGTTTATCATCATAACCAGTCCATAACTAAGATCAACAATAATACAGAGAAACCAGGAGGAGAGAAGCTGTCATTATTAGTGTAATTATATATTAAACTACTGATTATGAACTTTGATGTATATCAATTATTTCTTAATAATTTACCTGTGCATGAAATCAATAAACCTGAACTACATGTACTTACTATAGAGATAGGTTTAGGATTTGATTGTTTGTTAGTTGCATGTAATAATTATGTGTAATTTACTGTTATTACTATGGTAAGTAACCTCACTGTAAAAAAATATTGATGGTTTAACTTAAAAAAGTGAGTAACCTGGTTGCCTTCAAATTTTAAGTTGATTGAACTGGAAAAAGTGAGTTAATGCAATGAAGGAGATTAATTTAACCATCAGAAACTCAAAATAATAAGTTATCTCAACTAAATAAATTATTATAAAGTTGATTTGACAAAAGAAAATATGTTGTGATAACAAATCTTGAAAATATTTTTAAAGTGTCACCATCTGAAGAATATTTCATCAGATTATTATTATATTATTATTCAAAGAGTTTTAGAAAGTGAAATGAACTTCACAGCCTTCATGAGATAAGACACAGACACAGGTGAAGACCTTACCGTTACAATAACTCCACACTTAATCGCCGGACATTGTTATGTAATGCAAGTTTTCGGAAATATGATGTTTAAATATGCAAATGAGGGATTATCTAATTAAATATGCAGTAATTTGCATACGTTTCTAGAACATTTAATAAAGCAGGTTCAAGACTCTATAGTGTGATTTTGTTTACATATTAATTCTTTTTTTTTCAGATTTCTACTCCATAAATCAGGAAATACTGTCAACAGACAGAAAAAAACAACTAATTTTAAACATGTTTTTATGAGTAAAATTTTGTATAAATGAGGTGAATGATATATGAACAAACCTTGCGAACAGGTATGTAAAACTCAAGTTTGGTGTGTGTGAAACTGCAATATGACTTCACTGCCTTTCACCTGAAACCTACACACACATTAAGAGTGCAGTGAAATACACATTTAAAAGTGTGTTTTTGCTGTTTTCTAAATTTTTGCTGATCTGATGAAGAGTTACAGAAACACAACTGACCCGTGCGTAAACACACACTCTTCGGGTTTAGTGAGATTGCTTTCCTGATTGACAAACATCTCCTCAGAGACTGGTGTAACCTGTGTGTTCAGTGTGTGTTCAGTTCAGTGTGTGTTCAGTGATGTTCGGGACACTGGGTCTTTGACAGAGTCACACACTGACATCGTGACGCAAGCGGCGCTGCAGCGGGAGATCGTGGTGCACGGAGTGGGTGTGTGAGAGAGACTATTGTCTGAGCAGCACAACAGTGTGTGTGGGTGGGTGTGTGAGAGAGAGTGTGTGTGTGTGTGTGAGAGAGAGAGAGAGAGAGAGAGAGAGAGAGTGTGTGAGAGAGTGTGTGAGAGAGAGAGTGTGTGTGTGTAAGTGAGTGTGTGTGTCATCTGATGTCACATGACTCAGAAGAAACATGAATCAGCCACTCATTCTGCTATTATAATAACACATCTGAATATGATCTGATGATGAGAGTTATTAATACCACATTTTTGTTGCATGTCTTAAAAAACAATAAAGAGCAGGAATCATAGAGTTCATAATTATCATGTTTAGAGTCATAAAAGTTCTCTAGATTTATATGACAGATCCAAACACTCGTTTTTAACCAGAATTCTGCAGGCAAAAATAAAGATTTGATATGTTTAAGTTAACTTTTACACCTTTCACCAACTGTGCTGTATTTTATAATTATCCAATTATTGAGATAATGTTCTAGTTTATGTTGTATTTTTGTATGTTTTGTATTTCCTGTTTTCATTTCACTTTAATTAAAGTTTTACTAAATTAGTGTTTCTTGTCATTCTTTTTAAACAAAAGCTAAAAAATATGTTTATTTTTTAAGCATTTTTATTTTATGAAAATGTGAAATGCTGCTTTGCATGGCAAATCCCTGAAATAAAACAAGTTCATGTGTTTTATAGCTATTTTCATTTATTTCACGAAATTAGTAATGGCTCTTAATTTTGGATATATTTCCTATTTCAAACAAAGGTAATAGCATACTGTGTAAATAAATAGTAAGTTACATTTTTATTTTTTTGTGTTTAGGCAGAAACTGATATTTAAAAATATATATATATAAATAAACCCACTCTGGTAATATTTACTGTGTGACAACATGCCCCTGCCTCCTGTAAAAGGTGAGCAGTTGAAATGATCAAAATAACTTGATCATTTTAAGGCACAGGTTTCCTAAATAATGTTTAAATAAACAAACATTAGGTTTAATACGTTTTATGTACATTTAACTAATGTGGAATTATCAAATTCACATAACTTTTTTTCAATTGAGCATTACATTTATTTTCTGACACTTTTAAATTTAAGGCAACGGGTTTACTAATTTTTTTAAGTAGCCAAAGTGAAATGAACACTTAATAGAGTGAGAAATAAAAGTATAAAGTTTATCAGTCGTGCATTAATGTGAGCTGAGGAGATCACACACACCTTGTCGAGCTCATCGTGTAGTTCCGACAGCGACGGGCGCAGAAGTTTCTCCCCGAGAGGAGCTTCGGTCTGCCGGTAGAAGTCGATGTTCGGCACCGCGTCGATGGTGTTGTGCCCGAAGGTCCGCAGGTAATAAGTGCTGGAGTGTGTGTCTGAGAAATGACTGAGTCCACCGGCGGATGCCTCGCTCCTCACCGTGTCCCCGTTCACACCGGCTTCAGGAGCGGAGTCAGTCGGGCTGAGGAAGTTCACCACCCGGAACCGGCCCTTGGACTCCGACCCCTCCGCGACCGGGTCCAGCGGGTCCACCGGGTCCACCTGGAAGCGGCTCTGAGAGGACCCCGGGGCCCGGAGCGAGGGCTTCTGTCCGGCTGGAGGAGATGAGGGCTGATCCGACATGAGGATGATGATGATGGAGAATCACGGCAGGTAACGGACCCGGTTATAATCCGACAGACGTGACGACACTCGTGACCGTGATTGACAGGAGAGAGTTTCTGCTGTTCGCTCTTTGGCTTTTGTTCATGCAAAAACAGAAACAGTGCAAATCCGAAGTGTTGAGGACAGGGAGCAGAGAGGACTTCAGGGCTCAGATGTCAGATATATTCAGGGCAAATCCGCGAAGTAGCCTTTTGAGGATGAAATTTCCAATAAAATGTGATATATAATTCTCTGATGTTTTCATTGATGTTTTTTTCGTGCGTCTCGAGCAGAAACACAGACGCGTTTAATTTCATTGAAGCGCATTTTCGGTCTAATTAAATGTTTTACATGCAATTATATATGAAAAGCAGTAGCTAGCATATTAACAATGTTTATACTATCTAAAAATTTATTCTGCAATTAAACATGTTTTATGAGCTTCCAGCGAATTCAAAGTTATAAAAAAAGTTATTTTTATATTAAAACGTGTTTTTTATTATTATAGAAAGAACGTATTTTACAATTTTGCAAATATTTTTTGAACGTTCTGAAACAATTAGTAACATTTAAAAAACGTTAGAAAAACGTTCTATTAATGACATTTACGTTTTGAGAACATTAGTCTTTTTAAATATATATAAATAGTTTTTTTTTTAAATGCAAAGAGAAATTAGCAATTCTCATATACATTTAAATCTAAAATCTCCATGAGCAAATAAAGAAGCGAACTGAAGTCTGAAAGCATCAAACTCCCCCGAGCTCGTCACTCGTCCTCATTCCAGCTCACAGAGAAACAATAGTTTTCTGTGGAGAGGAAAGATGACATTCAGTCGCATTAGCATTGAACACAACACACTCTTTCACTGTCTCACTCTTCACAGCGCCGAACTGAAAGAGATCCTCCGCAAACCACCACCCTCACAACAACATTGTTTCATGAGAATAAGAAAATCAGGATTCGCCAAAGTCGTGATCTTTGATCTCCAAAATGACATATTTAAGTGTTTTTTCCTCAAAAGAAAGTCCTTCATGCTTTAAAATATCTTGAATGTAACTCGACACCCTCGCCTCATTTAGTATGCGCGTTTCTATGAATATGCAAATGAGCCCCGCCTCCACTCACTCACTCAGAAATCCACTGGTTGATGATCACACGTTGATCTGATTTACATGGTCGTTTGTGACGTCAGAAACAACGTTTAAAAACATAGTTTGAACATTCAGAAATGACATTTTAAAAACTTCCTTAGAACATGTATTGTCAGCTTTATTCATATAAAAAATCAAATTATCATATAATTTTTATCTCATACTTTTTTTTCATATACTATAGTCGAATCTGTGAGAAAACACAGTCTCAGATGTTAACTCCATTACTGAGATCAGTTATTCTAATGTTTGCAGAAAACAGTAACTTCTTGACTGTACTTATGAAGATGATTTTCTTCACAGTAGGAAACAGTGAAATCCCGACAGTGAGCGGCACTGATCTTCCGTCAGACATCAGACACGCTGTCCATCAGTCTCTGCAGGTTTCTGTGAATCTGGAGGAGCATAATCGTGTTGTTCAATCAATAATCACTCATGATCATAATCCCTATGGAATGAGCTGTTGACGTTCCCTCAAAGTTATGAACTAATGTTCTAGTTATGTTTGAGAAATGATCAAATGGAAAAATCTAAACATTTAGCAAAATGTTCCTAGAACATGTTTTGGTCAGCTGGGATCATCTAAAACTGTTTTGTGATATTATCTTCACAACAAAATCAGTTTAAACCCCGAGGAAACAGCTCATCTCAGTCCTGGTACAAGCAGACCAGGGTAAGATCTGAGACCTTCATGCAAACCTTTTCCAGCTTTAGAAGATTTGCAGAAAGAACCGAGTAGATCTCAGCGGTGTCTCCGGAGGACAGATGTTCATCTCTGGAAGCAGAACCACACGGACAGCGTTCAGCCATACGACAATCTGAGCATTTCTATTCCAGATCAAATAATGTGCATATATCATTGAGAAGGGGCTGTAAGATAACAAAAATATGTTCTAAAACATTTCGCTAATAAAAACTGCACCATAAATTATGTATAGATGATATATACGATGAGATTACTTTAAATGCTCAGAGAATGTTCCCTGACAAAACACCTCTAATACAATTTAATTTCCATTTTTTAACCCTTGTGCATCCTTATGGTCATTTTTGTCCATTTCAGTTTTGTTTTTTTGATCACTTTGCCTGTGTTAAAGCTAACTGCAAAAAACTTGGCACAGGTGTGCATTTTTATTGGAATTTTACTATTTCACTGTCATTTTCTTCTTAAAAAAATATTTTTTTGAATTAGGTACAAAAAATACTCCCTCTCAGCGCCTTTTGGACAAAAATGTCCCCATTGAAACCCATTAAAACTGCCATTTTTAATCCCCGGTTCAGTTAACTATAAAATTATGCAGTCTTTGTAATCTTTTAAAATTCCAATCCAATCACTGTGATCTCCAGTGGGGTTTTGCTGGCACCCAGTGGGGAAAATATGTTACTACGCCCAAACAAACTGTTACCCAAAGCTCATTTTTTGAGATATCATCCTTAAATTTGCAACACAACCTATTTTGATTTATGGCTTTGATTTTATTGCAGTTTTTAATTCAACCTGATTTATAAAATATATATTTTATATAAAATATTTTTTATAAACAATTTTCATAAACTTATACCTATCCATTTTTTTGGGATTTACTTATTTTTATTTTTTTACTTCAGCAATAATCTGCAAAGGGTCTTCTTTAAAATGATACCAAACTTAAGTCTGTGCTCCAAAGCGTCACATTTTTTTGACATGGACATTTTTGTCCTCTTTTTACCTGTGTGTAACTTTTTTTAATTGATGCACAAGGGTTAAAATAGCTTGCACACAATTTCTCAAACAATGGCTCCTTTTCTCTAAACTCTACACATAAAGCCACACAACATGAGGAGAATGAGTGTGCCATTTATTTTCTGGACCACAAGAGCTGTTTTGAATACAGTGTCTATAGTAAAGAGCTCAGCCTTAGCATCTGCAGTTTTGCAGACTTGATCTGAAGATAATCGAATGAATGAACTTTTGGTGTGTAAGCAATTTAAAAAACTGCTGTGATGAATGGAAGCCATTAGATCATTTTCATCTTCACCTTTTATGGGGAAACTCCAATGACACAAGAGATGTCAGACGTTCCTCAAGGGTCACGATCTTAAAGGCCATGTAACAGGAGGACAACAGCAGGACACAAACCCTGAGAGATGAAGAGCAGATCAAGCTCAGAGGATAAACACTGACATGATCAGACTCAAAGACAGATTAAACACAGATGATCAGACTCACAGAGAGAGGTAGATCAACACCAGAGTGTTCAGAGAGAGAGACACAGGCCTCAGAGCCTTCATCAACTTCAGCTCCACCGGCCCTGAGGATTCTGAAACACACGACAGAAATCACTGAGAGACTCAAGATCTGTGTGTGTGTGTGTGTGTGTGTGTTTGAGTTTTACCAGTGTATGATAAGTTCGTTTCAGGTTCAATAATTTCTTGTAGCGGATGAGAATCCAGTTCACCGTCTCGTTTCGTCCCTTCAATAAAAGCTTGGGATCGTTTGGGAAATTCTGTGAGAGAATCACACAGAAACTCTTGTAAAAAAGTATTTTTTAAGTGTACAATTCAGTGCACTTAATTACTATAATTATATATAGTGTTCTTTAAATCTTAAAAGTATATTTTTAAATACTGTTTCTAAACACAAAAGTGCACTTTTAAAATGTCAAATTTGAGTAAAGTCTAACTGTAAAGTACTCTTTAAATCAATATGTTTTGATTGTGTTGACTAACATACTAAAGGAAATCGTGATATACTGAGGAAGAAAGACATTTAAAAGTACAATAAAAGTAATTATGACTGCACTGAATATACATTTTCATTTAACTGTAAATAACATGCAATTAAGTGTTTGAAAACATTTCCTTAATTTGTACATATATGTATATAAAGTATATTGTACTTCTCTTTTACAAGCGGATGTTAATAAAGAGTAAAAATATTTCCTCAGACCACGAGATCTGCTATTATCATGTGCCGAGCAAACATTAAAACATTTAAAACGTCGCATCCACTATTAATATTGCTAAAACTATATTTTGATGGTCCCGTTTGAACATTCTGTTGAATATAAGAGACTACATGTTGAGTTTGGAGAGATGTTGGTGCAACCTTACTTATAGTCAGTGTTGGGTAAGTTACTCTAAAAAACTAGTTACTAATTATTACCTCTTCAACAGTGTAATTAGATTACTGTACTAATTACTCTCTCTAAAAAGTCTTTAATTACTTTCAAAATCCCATATCAATCTCAACCAGCTGAATAATACAAGGATAGACATGAATCTGTTTTAATCTGTTCAAATAAATACTATAAAAATGCATGAATTATCCTTAAACAGACCAAGGTGGAGAAGGTTACATTATAAAAACATACTTTTTAACATCAGACAATACATCTTGATATTAAACCCACTATTGTTTTATGTCTGATCTCATGACATTTCACACTTTTTTCATACATATTATACAATAATTCATACGAATTTGTACGAGTGCGGTCGTAATATTTAGACACCTCATAAAATGCATCAGATTGATCTAAACACAGTATTTACCTCAATTACATCAGAAGTAACTGTAATTAAATTACAGATAAATTAAGAGTAATCCCTTACTTTACATTTTCAAGGGAAAAGTAATTAAATTACAGTAACTAATTACACCCAACACTGCTTATAGTCAACTGAATGTGTCAAAGGGACCATCAAAATAAAGTGAAACACTAATGTTTATATTTATTACATTATAAAAATATGTGTTTCCTGTAATTTAAGTGCTTAACTCCATTAATGAGAATGGCATGTATGTATCAGACGTAAAACAATGTTGAAATTATTCTTTAATGTATTTAAACTGTTGCACTGTATATATTTGAACATGCACTGTATTTATAATTAGGTTATTAACTTATAGATGTACTTGCACATTCTCCCGTCACGTTTGTGTTAATAAATCACAGCGTGACGTCCGGCTCTGTCAGGGACTGTTTTGTGTGACAGCGGTTATAAACGAGGCCCTTGAGCGTCACTGAAATACTCACTCTGTGTTTTGCCGAACGCCGGTGACTCTGGACAGTCGGAGCTGCTGCTGTCGTCCACAAGCGGAGCCGTCGGTCCGACCGGAGCCTCAACATCCGACAGATCCGCAGGGAAGTCCTGTGCACACACATCACACAGCGTCTGAATATCCCGGAGGAAAGCGGATGGATGGCGCCATTAATTGAAGGGCCCGATTTTAACGATCTAAGCTAGTGCACTTATGGCATTCAAATCCCCTTTTGCTAGTTGCACTCTTTTTTCCTGTTCTTGTTGTTTCTCTTTCCTTCAGTGATTGTTAACAGCAGGTGTGCATCTAAGTCTTCCAGGTGGGCATCCCTC